CTGCCTTGTAGTAGTCCACATGGTATCAAAAGTCACCATAGGAGGAGTAGCCACCATGCCTTGGGTGCTGAGGATGGCCCTGATGGATCTGAAACTGTGAGACGTCTGAATTCTAGTCTTCCATGTAACACTGCACCAAAGCAACTGTCAGAACCATACAGTGAACTCAGGGACTTCCCTGGCAGTCCAGTGGCAAAGATCCTGCACATCCACTGCAGGGGGTCCGGGTGTGGCCCTCAATCATGGAACTAAGATCCAACATGCTGAGTTGCATGGCCAAAAAAATAAATCAGTAGAACTACAAGATCATGTGTGATTCTCTACACTAATAATGAACTACCAGAAAGAGAAATTAAGAAAATAATCCCCTGTCCAATTGCATCCCCCCAAAACTAGAAATTTAACCAAGGACTTGAAAGAGCTGCAAGCTAAAAACTGCAAGACACAGAGCTCAATTAAACTGAACAGATAAAAAAAGACATCCCATGCTCATGGGTGACAATACTGTTAAAATCTCCATTCTAACCAAAGTAACGTACACATTCATGCAATCACTACCAATATCTCATTGACATATTTCACAGAAACAAAAATAATGTTAACATCCGTGTGGAACCACAAAGGACCCAGAAGAGCCAAAGTGACCCTGAGAAGGGAGAACAGGCTGGCAGTACCTCCATCGCTGACTTCAATCTGCATTATGCACCTAAAGGCACCACAAGACATGTGGAACTGTATCAGAAACAGGCAGAGATACCAGAGAGCCCAGAAATAAATCTACAGGTTCACAGTAATCAATTTATAAGAAAGGAGCTAAGAACATACATCCAGGAAAGGACAGTCCCCTCAATAAGCCATGCTGGGAAAAATGGACACCACAAAACAAGGAACAACACTGGACACCATTCTTTACCACAGACAAAAACTAACTAAAAAGCCACAACTTTCCACATCAAGCCCTAACTGTCCTGGGTCCTCTGAAGACAGACACTCAGCAACAGCCATACACAGAAAGTTTCTTCCCAATTTTCCTCACCTTTTCCTTCAGTGGCACCACCTCCCTGCAGGTCCTGAGGAAACCAGGCTCGTGTCAAACTGAACTGAACCCCACAATGTCCCAAAGCCAAAGCCCTAATGGGTCCTGAGGGGCCAGACTCCCATCACCCTGGATTGAACCCCAAAATGTATCAAAGCTGAAAACCCAGTGGGTCCCAAGAAGACCAGACTCCCATCAGCTTAAGCTGAACCCCACAATGTCCCAAAGCCGAAGCCCCAGTGGGTCCTCAGTGGCCAGACTCCCAACTCCCTAAACTGAACCCCACAATGTCCCAAAGCTGAAATCCCAGTGGGTCCTGAAAAGACCAGACTCCTGTCAGCCTGAACTGAACCCCACAAAGTGCCAGAGCTGAAGCACCAGCAGGTTCTGAGGAGACCAGACTCCCATCAGCCTGAACTAACCCCACAATGTCCCAAAGCCAAAGTCATAATGGGTCCTGAGGGGCCAGACTCCCATCACCCTGGATTGAACCCCAAAATGTATCAAAGCTGAAACCCCAGTGGGTCCTGAGGAGACCAGACTCCTGTCAGCTTGAACTGAACACCACAATGTCCCAAAGCTGAAGCCCCAGTGGGTCCTCAATGGCCAGATTCCCATATCCCTCAACTGAACCCCATAAAGTCCCAGAGCTGAAGCACCAACAGGTCCTGAGGAGACCAGACACCCACTCAGCCTGAACCCACCCCACAATGTCCCAAAGCCAAAACACCAGTGGATCCTGAGGAGACCCATCTCTTGTCAGCCTGAAGTGAACCCCACAATGTCCCAAAGCCAAAACCTGAGCAGGTCCTGTGGAGACCAGACTCCCTGTCTTCCTGAACTGACTCCCACAACATCCCAAATCTGAAATCCCAGTGGGTCCTGAGGAGACCAGACTCCTGTCAGCAGCCACAGGCAGCCAGGTGCTCAGTCAGAGCCGGATTTCCACTTGGGGTGGGGGTGGGTCAGGGAGGCGGGCTCCTCGCTCCCTGCCATCCAATGAGAACTGCAGGTCAAGCCTCCCTCACTCGCGTAGGCACAGCTAAGTGGAGACTCCGCCCCTCAGGGCAGTTCTGCTAGGTTCATTAAACTATGGAAATTCAAACTGAAATATTGCCAATATCCAAAACTTCTCCAAAATAGTTAAGGAATAATTAACTCGAAACTGTATAGAATGAAATGTAGTCACCAAATGCACTCAAATTTATTAACAGATATTTAAATTTTGAAACTGTCAAAATTGTGGACATAAACGTAGAAAATATACATGCCCTGGGTTTGGCCTGTATATCATGAGCTTTGAGTTTTAACACACAGGCTGTCAGTCCACAAAAGAAAAATATTGTGGACTTTATAGAAATAAAGATATCTATTCTGAAAGAACTCATTCAGAAAATCAAAATACAAGCCACAAACTGGGAGAAAAATATTTGAAAAATTCATATCTGTTACAAGATTTGGACACAAAATAGACAAAGACCTCTTGAACAACCTTATAAACAGTAAGTAAAGATCTGAACAGACACCCAGCCAAAAAACGTTATACAGATAGTACAAAACAGAAACACGCTCAACATCATACACCATTAGGGAATTAAAAATTAATGCCATGAGCTATCACACTATACAGCTGAAGCTTGGAGTCTCCCACAGCCCAAGGCCCTTAATGAGCATGCCTGTAAAGTTAACGTGTTAGTCACTCACTCATGTCTGACTCTGTGCAACCCCATGGACCGCCAGGCTCCTCTGTCCATGGGATTCTCCAGGCAAGAATACGAGAGTGGACTGCCACGCCCTCCTCTGGGGATCTTCCCCACTTAGGGATTGAACCCGGGTCTTCTGCTATGGGCAGACTGTTTACCGTCTGACCCACCATGAAAGCCTGAACACGCCTGTACCCATAGATTAAAGCTTCCCCAACTTTGCAGTTTAGAGAGATACTGCTCTGGAAAGCTGCATGGTGTTCTCCACGGAAGTAATACACTTTTCCTTCCCATGAGCTTTGGCTGGGTTGTATCTTCTGACTCAACACCCACCAAGAGGTAAACTCACTTTCCTGGTAACATTTCTCCATCCAGACTTCCAACCACCACTTGATACTAATTTTACAGTCAGTTGCCTTGCTTCCAGTACATGGAAATCACATTATTTTTCTGTGAGAAAATCTAGCTAAGGGCCAGAAACAGTGTCCCTAATTTTACCTTGTGAAGCCAGTAGGTGTCAAGCAAACTCAGCTCTGTGGCTCCATCCAGTTCAATGCCTCGTTTTACAGAAAACACATGCAAGGCTTTGAGGTTTTATTTATACCTCATTTCTGAAGGCTTTTAATACCTACAATAAATATACAAATGATTCATCAGTGCCACTTCTACTTTGAGGTTTAAAATCCTCCAAGTTTTTTCTAACATACTTATTCCATGCCTTGCGTTTAAATCTTTGACCATACGTTGTTTATCCTGTGTCTCATCAGAATTTAGTTAATTACACAATTTTCCCCGGAATAATGCAGTACTCATCACATAGAGTTCTTGCCAAAACAGGATTTGGCAAGGTAGGGCACAGGTGGGCCTAGGAGAAAGTCCGGGAGCACGCCTACACTCTGGTGGAGCCGAGATTCTAGTTGAGGGCACTGGAAGGAAACATCCAGCCTGAGGACAACCCGCTCACTTGAGGATCCAGGCCTAAGATGCAATGCCTGAAAACAAGCAAAGAAAACAGCCACGATGCGCCTGCGCACTGTATCTACTTGACAGACACGCCCTCAGAGCAGCCAATCCCCGAGCAGTGGGGCGGGGCCTCCATCTCGCTCCGCACTCTCCCAGCGCCTATTGGCCAGACTGCCTTGGTCGCAAGGCTGATTGGTCGCTCGTGCCTGACAGGGTACAAGCGGGCTGCTGGCCCTTCACTTCGCCTCAGCGCGGGAGGACTGGACGTCGCCGAGCTACTAGCGCACCCCAGGCCGGGTTGGGCAGCATCGCAGGACAACGGGGAGACTGACAGGGAACCACCCTGCACAACCCTCATAAACCCTTAGCCTGACGACTTCAAATTCCAGGGTGAGAGGCCCCAAATCCCGTCAGCTTTGAGGAACCTGAGTCCTAATCTGAAGGAAGCTAGTGTCTCGTCAGCTTCAGGGACTACAAATCCCTTCACCCACAGAAATACCAAATCCCCTGGTGCTGCAACCCTCAAATACCTAGAGTAACCCCAGCTCCCCTCAGCCTGAGGCACCCTAAAAATAGCACCCGCAGAGACACCAAATTTCCTTAACCTCGGAGACCCTGAATACCTCAGCCTGGGAGCTCTTAAAGCTCTTCTTCCTCAAGACCTCAATTGTCCTGCCTGTCGGAGGCCTAAAGCACCTTAGTAAGAAACCCCTGGTTTCCTCAGCCTGAAAGATGCCAAGTTCTCTCACCCTGCACATTCTATATCAGCCAAAAGATCCCCAGTCCCCTCTGCCTGAGGACCCCAGTTCCTTCAGCCCGTGGGACCCAGATCTCCTCAAGCCAATTGACCTGTCCCTTAGATATAGAACCCACGTTATGCCCAGATTTTTCTGAGTCCCCAGGCGGAGATCCTCAAAACCTTTCTTGGAGAAATAATTTCTCTCCTGCACTGGAACAGAGCTCTGATTTCAGCCTGACCCCAGTCCAGCACTTAGGGATTTCTGGGTCTCCTCAAGAATCCCTCCATCACCCACAGACACATCCCTCCCAATGCCTTCCCTCAGAGGGGCTGAATTGTAGGGGATCCAAAGAAACCTAATCTAGTTCACATTAGGCTGATCTGTCATAGCTAGTCAGGATCTGTCCATCCCACCAATACCCTCACCCTGACTTTCCCCTCACCTTCCTGCCCTGGACACTCCACCCAAGGAAGACAAACCAGGCTCTGGACAGTGGTCTTGGCTGTCTCAGCACCTTCTTCTTCCACAGGCACCTTGGCCTTGAGCACTCCAATGGCCATGAGGCCGAACAGGTCTCCAGAGGAGAGCACTGAGGGAGATGCCGGGAGAACAGAGCGGAAGCCCACGGTGAGAGGTGGAGGCGGCAAAGCTGGGCTCTAAGCCAGCTCTATAGGAAGGACATGGCGCTGGTCCCTGAAGCACCACACACTGCTTGCCTGGGCAGCTGAGTGAACTTCCCTGTGACCGTACACAGGATGGGAATGCCTGGTCCTGTCTGAGATGGTGGGGAGGAGTGGGACAAAACAGGACACTAGATTCGTCAACTGCTCTGTGTCCAGGGAGAGTTAGGAAAATGCTCAGTGTTTGTTCAGTTAAGCAGGACACAGTCAGGAAGGAACGTCTTCATCTCTGTCTCACACAGACCATCCAGTAGCTTCAGGCTACTCCCTGCACAAAAAGTGGAGGAGAAGGCCCAGCTCTAAGGTCTGACTTAGATTAGTAAATCACTGATGAAATCTATTATTTTCCCTAGGCCAAAGATGCTTTCAAAGACATCTCCATATACTTCTCCAAGGAAGAATGGGAAGAGATGGGAGAATGGGAAAAAATCCGTTATAGGAATGTGAAAAGAAACTACGAAACACTGATTGCTATAGGTAACAGGAAGTGTTGGGTGCCTGTGAGCCTGGGAAACATGAAACAGGTCTTCACCCTCAGTGTTCACTTGGCCCGCTCTTAGGTGGCTTCATCTGCTCACAGTTCCCTTTTGTGTGGAGACTAAACTGCAGGAAATGTTTACAGTTCTGTACCAGAGGGAGGTTGACCCTGCAGTGCAGAGCTCACCTCTTGCCTTGTTCTAGATTCTCCCAGCCCATCCTAGTGACTTCCCTGACTTTGTGACACTTTCCATTGCTTCTGTGTTTTGTTCCTCCTTCTTAGGACAAATATTTTTCTTCTTTCCAGGTTTCAGAGCCACTCGACCAGATTTCATGCATTACCGCAGGCAGGTCATCAAACCCCACGTAGATGACACTGAGGATTCTGATGAAGAATGGACACCAAGGCAGCAAGGTGAGGGGCCAGGAGGATTTAGAGGTGTCTTTCTGAAACCAGCCTAGGCTTAGGTCTCAACTACACCTCAGCCATTAGCAAAGAAAACATAATTTTCAGCATTCCAAAGTGGTTGTGGCTGAATATTGACATCAGCCTGAATGAAGATGAATGTATAGGTTTTCCAGTGTAATTCTCAAAAGTTTTATGTTTAAAATTTATAATTCTTTTTAAAAAGAATTATTTTTGCTAAACATTCTTAGTGAAAGGCAGTTAAAGAAACCTTAGAAATAAATTCACCAAAGAGATTTAATACTAATCTCATAATTGGTTATTGGATTAAATCTCTTAGAAGAGGAAATGATTAACATATTATGTCAAGATACATTATTTATGTATGTATATAAAACAACACATGATCTTGTTACCCTAAGGTGAAACTAATTCTTTGTTTTAATTCTGAGAAAGCGTTTGAGAGAACTATTTATTCTCCCTGATCTTTCCCACATTTCACTGAGCAGAAACAGCATCAGGTAAATAAAATGAAGTACACTCATTATAAAATAGAAGTGAGCAGCTCACTTCCTTTTCTAACTGCTCAGACAGTTTAGGCGAGTTAATATTCCTAGATTGGAGAAAACAATTTAGATAGCTCTATGATTCTCCATCTATGAATTTCTGTACTCCCAAATTTTTAAAAATTATTTATTTAATTTTGGCTGCACTGTGTCTTCGTGGCTGTGCACGGGCTTTCTCTGGTTGCGGTAAGTGGCTTCTCATTGCAGAGCACATGCAGGCTCAGTAGTTTGTGACACACAGGCTTAGTGGCCCCACAGAAAGTGGAATCTTCCTGGACCAGCCATCAAACCTGTGTCCTCTGCATCGGCAGGTAGATTCTCATCCACTGTGCCACCAGGGAAGTCCCTCTGTTCCCTTAGGTTATTAAAACTAGTGAAAGGGACATGAAAACAAACATTTGGTTGTCTGCAAAGGTTTTTACATGAAGAGAGATTCTTCATAGGGAATATATATGTCACGGTTCACCATACCTCTGCACATCTTAATTTACCTTCTTAACACTTTCTGAGTGTATGGTACACTCTTGCTAACTATGTACAGATTAGTGTTAGTGGCCATAGTGTTCATCACTCCATCATGTCCAACTCTTTGCGTACCCATGGACTGTAGCCTGCCAGGCTCCTCTGTCCATGGGATTCTCCAGGCAAGAATACTGGAGTGGGTTGCCGTTTCTTGCTCCAGGTGATCTTCCCAATCCAGGGATCGAAACTGCATCTGTTGCATCTCCTGCATTGCAGGCAATTCTTTACCACCGAGCCACCAGGGATATACATACACATTGCTCTACAACAAATCTGTAGAACTTTTCCATCTTGTGTGACTGAAGCCCTAACCCACTGAGTAACAATTCTGCAATCCTTCCTCCTCATAGCCCTTGGCAACCACGATTATATTTTCTGTTTCCATGGATTTGATTAATTTAGATACCTCATAGAAGTGGAATCAGGCAATATTTGTCTTTTTTGGATTGGTTCATTTCACTTAGCATATCATCAAGACCCATCTCTGATGTAGCATAGGACAGAATTCTTTTTTAAGGCTTAAAAACATTCCATTGTGTGCATGTATATATAACAGATATAAGATATATCTTATATATAATTTTTATCTTTTTATCCACCAAAGAGCATTTAGATTGCTTCCACATCTTGCCAACTGGGAATAATGCTGCAATGACCATAGAAGTGCACACTATTTATTCAAGATCTTGCTTTCAATTTTTTACGGAAATATACTCTTGAGTTGGATTGCTAGATCATACAGCTGAGGAAACTCCATACTGTTTTCTATAAAGCTTGCAATATTTTACATTTCCAACAATAGTGTATAAGGGTTCCAATTTCTCCATATCCTTACCAAACGTGCTATTGTCTTCTTATTCATATTGCTCATCAAAGAAGGTTTCAATTTGTATTTCCCTATTGATTAGTAATATTGATCATCTTTTCATATGTTTGTTGGCCATTTGTGTATCTTCTATGGAGCAATGTCTATTGAATTCCTTCTTCCACTGTGTTAGTCTCAGACTGCCATAGCAAAACAGATTGCATTCCTTAAACCACAGAAATTTGTTTTCTTACAATGCTGGAGCATGGAAGTTTGATATCAGGGTTCCATCATGGTCAATCAGGTTCTCTTCCTGACTTACAGGTAGGCTTCATATTGGTGTATGCTTATTAACCCCTTATCAGATACATATTTTACAAATACTTTCTACCGTCCTGTAGGTGGCCTTTTCAACTCTGTTCACTGTGTCGTTTGCTGCACAGAGGTTTTAAGATTAATGTAATCTCATTTGTCTATTTTTACTTTGTTACTAATACTTATGCACTTGGTACCATATCTAAGAAATCATTGCTGATTCAGTGTCATGAAGCTTCACCCTTGTTTTCCTCTAAGAGTCTTATCAAGTCTTGCATTTAGGTCTTTAATCCATCCTGAGTTGATTTTTCTTCATGATATAAGATCTTCGTTATTTTGCATATGGATATTTTGTTTCCCCAGCACCAGTCGTTATAGGGATTAAATTTTCCCCATTGTCCTGACACTCTTGATGAAGATCATTAGACCATATATCCAGGAGTGTATTTCTGTTTATTTCTGGCTGTCTATTCTGTTCCATTGATTGACATGTCTGTCTTTATGCCAACGGGCTTCCTCAGTGGCTCAGCAGGTGAAGAATCTGCCTTCAATGCAGGAGACACAGAAGATGCAGGTTCAATCCATGTGTTAAGAAGATCCCCTGGAGAAGGAAATGGCAACCGCATCCAGTATTCTTGCCTGTGAAATCCCCTGGACAGAGGAGCCTGGTGGGCTACAGTCCAGAAGGTCACAAAGAGTCAAGAAGACTCAGTGACTAAGCACACACTTCATGCCAAAACTACACTCTTGGTTCCTGTACCTTTGTAATATATTCTGAAATCAGAGGCCTCCAGCTTTGCTGTTGTTCCTAAGATTGTTTTGCCTATTTGGGGTCCTCTGAGATTTGGTATTAACTGTAGGATGGATTTTCTGTATCAGAAAAAAATTCCATTGGGATTTTAATAGGAATTGCATTGAATCTTTAAATTGCTTTGGGGAGTATTAACAGCTTAATAATATTAAGCCTCCAAATCCATAAACATGAGACACCTTTCTATTTACTTATGTCAGATTCCTTTCAGCAATACTTTGTAGTTTTCAATGTATAAGTCTTTCATCTCCTTAAGTTTACTCCCAATTATTTCATTCTTTTTTATGCTATTATGAATAAGATTATTGGGACTTCTCTGGGGGTCCGGAGGCTAAGACTCCACACTCCCAATGCAGAGAAATTGGGTTCAGTCCCTGTCAGGGAACTAGATCCCACATGCCGCAACAAAGACCTGGCACAAAAAAATAAATAAAACTAAATTATTTTTAATTTAAATTTAGATCTTGAATATAGCTTTAAAAAAATAAAAAATAATCAGGATTGTTTTCTTATTTTCCTTTTTGGAATGGTCATTGTTCATGAATGGAAAGATATTTCAATGCTGATTTTGTACCGTGCAACTTTCTGTGCAGGTTTGTGTGTGTGTGTGTGGAATTTTAAAGATTTTTCTGTACATAAAGTCATGTCCTCTGTGAACAGACATAATTTTACTCCTTTCTTTCCAAATGGAAGCCTTTTGTTTCCTTTTCTAACCTAATGCCCTGGCTAGGATTTCTAACATTATGGTGAATAGAAGTGTTGAGAATGGGCACCCTTGCCTCTTTATGGATCTTAGAGAAGTTTTCAGCTTTTCCCTGATGACTATGATGTTAGAGGTAGACTTTTCATATATGACATTTATTATATTGAAGTCACTTCCTTCTCTTTCTACTTTGTTGAGTACTTTTGTCGTGAAAGGCTAGTAAATTTATTAGATACTTTATGGACATCAGATGAGGCACAGATGAAGTTTCATATTTCTTTTTAATTCTAAGAAAATTATGCAGTGCTCCCAGTGGAAGCATAGGAGCTGATGATACAGAAACCACCTTCCCTTCCCCCTCCGGCGATCCTTGTCCCTGTCGCGCTCCGGCTCAGGGTCCTGTGTCCTGAGTTAGAAAGCCGAGTGCGGAAACACTTGCCAACCGAAACACTGGTTCTCATCACTCTTTAGGTAAACCTTCTCCAGTGGCCTTCAGAGTGGAGCACAGTAAACACCAGAAGGTGAGTATTTCCCAAATCCTGTTGCAAAAATGTCCTTCTCATGAATCCAGTCACAGGTGAGAATAGGAGAAAACACAGAGATCCTGGAGACTGCTGCCTTCGTGTCCTGAATCTTTAGCACACTGTCTGATATCATCACCACCTTTACAGTTAGTAAGAACAACAACCATAGTATCCTGTTCTATTGTTACATTATTTTCACAATATTTCAGACTTTAAGCATTTTATGTGAATAAACTTACTTAAACCTTAAATCAATCCTACAGTACCTATAAGTAAATATATAGCTATCAGCATTATAGATCCAAAACATGAGGTAAAAAACATTTGATTATATGCCCGAGATCACAGTATCACTGGTAGTGCAATCTAATTGAAAGCACTTTTTCTAAACTCCTTACAAAATGATTAAAGCTTCCATAGTTCTATGAAGCTTATTCATACATCTTTATATCATCCATCTGAGAGATGTTTTCAACCTCAGTTCTTTTGTGCTGTGCTAGGGAGGGATATGCTAAGACATCTGACTAAGGGAAGCTTAAGGACATGCTGGGCAGTTTGTACAGTGGACAGTCCAGGATGAAGAAGGAGACAGGATCCCTACCTCAGAGCCTCCCACTCCAAGAGGAAGCAACTCGCAACCCTGACAAGCCTCAGGTTTATGACTGAAAAGCAACAAATAAGAAAATAACTGAAGGACTTCACATAGATTACCTGCTTTTGAGTAGAAACTCATCATCTGGGCATCATTTCAAATGCTCATTCTTGCAGGAGGGAGTAACAAGTCCTTCTCCTGAGCTCTGATTAGGCAACTCTCCTGTTTGGAAACATTTGTTTAGCCTGCCCCTGTGTTGTTTGAGAGCCTAGCCCACACCCATTCTTTCTCCGAAGTCCAGGCCCAGCTCAAAGCCCCTGAGGGCCCCTGAATGTTTTGTGAATGAGTGACTCCACACTTAAAGATTCCTCTAGGAGTAGGAAGGTCAAAGAATGCTGAAGATAGTATCTGTGAGCTGGACTTAAAATATACATGCAGTTGAAGGGATAAATTGATGGCAGGGATGTACACTCACATTCATACTATATTAAATAGCTCACACAGCAATTTGTTGAAATGTTATTAAATTTCATGTCCACTGTAACATTAAGAATTAGCACGTATACCAATTTATGGATCAGGAAAGTGAGGAGAACCAGCTAGTCATACAGCCTTGTTCTAGCAGAATTGATGAGACCAGCTACTTTAATTCCAAACATTGTCTCTAAGAGGACATGGCAACCTGCAACTTTCATCTCATTTTCTTTATCGTCTAAATGTGTTTCTGCTGATTTTTGTATTGTCTAAATGTGTTCTGTCTTTTCTCTTCTTAATCTCACTGCTTTGTCACCTTATTTTCCAGATGTGTTTTGTCCCCTCTGTAATTTTCCATACTTCCTTGTCCATCAAAGGGCCACTAATTAATAGAAAACCCCCTGGATTTCTCTATGAGCCCTTACCCTCTTCTTTCCCTGACCTCCAGCTGTTATCCCTGCCTTGCTCTCACTTTTATGCAGAAAGTTGCAGGGAAAGAACCTTAAGATATGAATTCTAGTTTTGATTCATTACCCACTTAGGTCCTTAATTTACACTCCAGTGTTCAGACCCCACCTCCACCAGGTTTTTCCAAGAATTGTCAAAGTATTAACTAAAGTCATGCATGTGAAAACACTTCATAAAGTCCTAAAGAACTAAAGAAATGCATGTTGTCTTTTACTCACATGGAAGGGACTGTCCAGGGCACCATTAAGTAAGGAATCTAGTTTGAAGGAATTGCCGGGAGCAGCAAAATTGCTGAAGACAAGTGGCTCCAAGCAGGCTCAGAAACCAGTGCCCCATCACAGAAAAGCAAGGACCCCTGGACAGCACCCCAGACAAAGAGTCGGTAAGAAAAATTGTGGGGAGTTCCTCTAATTAGTTCCTCTGATCCCTGTAGAAAAACTAATAAGTATGGTCTAGGTGTGTGGCATGGACTTTGGGTAGGTGGGGGTTTAAGCTGGACTGATCTGAGACATGAAGTGAGCACTGGGGCCTTGGGAAAATCTTATACATTTTCTGAGGTCCTGATTGCTGTCTGTAAAGTGAAGATAAGGATACATAATTCATACAGTGCTTGAAAGTCTTACATTAAATGCAAAAGTCTGACACCTACAAGTAGTTCAATAAATCCAGCTGTGATAATGGGAACTGTGCTTTGTTAGTGTTTATGCCCAGACCTCTGCTCAGTGCCTTACGTGTCATGTGCCCTGAACATATATTTTCTGAGTAGATGTGTCAGTGAACTATTTCCTAAGTAAGAAGGTTTGGAAGTTAAACCTACTAACGGGAAGTGCAGGAAGCTATCACTGAACTGGGCATCTGTGGTCAGTGGAGCCTCAGTCCCCTGAACCAGTAGTTAAAGGGAGAAGGAACAAAGTATACAGAAGGGACTTCCTGGGGGTTAGGTGGTTAAGACTCCACGCTTCCACTGCAGGAGGTGTGGGTTCCATTCATAACTGGTGAACTAAGATCCCACAAGCCATGCAGTGTGGCCAAGAAATAAATAATGTAACATTAAAACATAAAATTACAAAAGTAAAAGTTTGAAAAATACATGTAAGAAAGTTTTAACAAAGTGTATAGATGGACAGGTAGGAGATCCCACACTTTCTGATAAAACAGGGACTAATTCTCCAGACCCCATCAGCCTTGCTTAGCTTCTGTTCTCCATCTTAGAACTCAGAGGAAAGGACACTGGAGTGAAGAGGTACAGTCTACGAGAAAGAAAGGGCCACGTGTACCAAGAGGCCAGCGAGCCCCAGGATGACGACTACCTCTGTGAGTGACCCCGCTGGCCCACTCATGGAGAAGGGGCTACGAGGCCTTGGTCCACTAACCTCACCTCACCATTTGGTCCCCCGGTCATCCCCTTCCTCTATGACTTGGGGTGTAGGATCGAGGCCAAATGCCATGAATGCCCCAGTTCTTTCTGAAGGTCGTTACGACCAGCATCATCACTACACCTCCCCTCATCCCTGTTCTCACCTCCAGATTGTGAGGAGTGTCAGAATTTCTTCATCGACAGCTGTGCTGCCCACGGGCCCCCAGCCTTTGTAAAGGACTGTGCAGTGCCAAAGGGGCACGCCGACCGCTCAGCGCTCACCCTGCCCCCTGGGTTAAGCATCAGGCTGTCGGGCATCCCTGACGCTGGGCTTGGAGTGTGGAACGAGGTGTCCGATCTGCCACGGGGCCTGCACTTTGGCCCCTATGAGGGCCAGATCACAGACGACAAAGAGGCTGCCAACAGTGGATATGCCTGGCTGGTGAGAAGCACCCGTTTCCCTGTCCTCTGGCCTCTAATCGCTTGTGTGTGGTGGGGGGTACTTCATGTCTACATGTGAGGACGCAGATGGTGATAACATGGTCGGCAATGATACAGTCAGTGCTGTGTACCGTGTGCCCTGGGTGTGAACACAGGACTTCCATCTAAAGGTCAGAGGAGAGGTGGGAACACAGTGCACAGACACATAGGACCTCTATCTAAAGGTCAGAGGAGAGGTGGGAACACAGTGCACAGACACACAGGACCTCTATCTAAGATCAGAGAAGAGGTGGGAACACAGTGTACAGACACACAGGACCTCTATCTAAAGATCCGAGGAGAGGTGGGAACACAGTGTACAGACACACAGGACCTCTATCTAAGATCAGACGAGAGGTGGGAACACAGTGTACAGGACCTCTATCTAAAGGTCAGAGGAGAGGTGAGAACACAGTGTACAGATACTCAGGGCCTCTATCTAAAGGTCAGAGGAGAGGTGGGAACACAGTGTACAGGCACACAGGACCTCTATCTAAAGGTCAGAGGAGAGGTGGGAACACAGTGTACATACTCACAGGACCTCTATCTAAAGGTCAGAGGAGAGGTTGGACCACAGTGTACAGATACTCAGGACCTCTATCTAAAGGTCAGAGCAGACGTGGGAACACAGTGGTCCAGGCACACAGGACCTCTATCTAAAGGTCAGAGGAGAGGTGGGACCACAGTGCACAGACACACAGGACCTCTATCTAAAGGTCAGAGGAAAGGTGGGAGCACAGTGTACAGACACACAGAAGTGACTCCTCCCTTGTGGAGCCCTTGCCTTCAATGAACCAAGAGACTCAGACTTGGAATGATGAGTAAGGAGCTTACCGTGTGGTCCGACTGGCAGTTGAATCCATGCAGGCTGAAAAGCACCAATGACTACAGAGGGAAATAGCTCTTCTATTACTTCCTACCAAAAAGAAAAAAAAGAAAGAGGAAAGCTTGTAACTCTTTTTCTGACACTCAGATCAGCAAAGGGAGAAACTGCTACGAGTATGTGGATGGAAAGGACACGTCTTGGGCCAACTGGATGAGGTGAGTGCAGTGAGCCTGCACTGTGTAGACATTGATACTCCCTCAATCCCACACCCCTTTCCTTCTCAACCCGGCTCCCTCAACAGCTTTCACATCTTCTTTCCTCTTTTCCCTCTATATCATGCTCTTTCATTTCAAAAGACGCTAGAAAGAAGGAAATAAAAATATGGCATGTGCCTCAAGATACAAGTCTATATGCTGAACAAAACTGGTGGACTTGAAAACAACTTGAGGAGTCTAGATTCACCAGGGACACTTTAACACACTTAATGGACACTTACCACGCACTTTATGTTTCAGTTTAGACAGTGAACTTCGTTACTGAAGCAGGTCACACAACCCATGTCCTTTTGGAGAACATACTGCAAACAGACATTAGCCTATTGATTTTAGGAACAGTAACCTTATTTTTTCTATCTTTGAGTAACTATACAGCCCCAGGATAACCTAACACAGGAGACCTTGACTCTATGTGGCAACAACCTCCTCAGGCTTGGTTCCAGTGAGAAGTGGGCTCTGAGGCCTCGGAAGGAATGGGGAGCAGGATGGCCCTGAGCAGGGCCGTTCTCTGAGGGCCTCTCCTTTCATCAGGGCAGGCAGACAGGAACAAACTATTACTGTTCCCTGTCTCAAGCTATATCAGAGTTCTCTCAATATTTCCGTGGGAGTGGGTGGGCGAGCGAATAGGGCCCTGGATACACGTGGGGAGAGGGGAGAAAGCCTCGGGAGAGAAGGCAGGCTGGGGTGAGTGCTGAGGGCTGTGTGCTAGCCAAGGAGCACCAAGTCCTGCGGATGAAAGAGAACTTAATTCAGAGTTTAGAGGAGCTGGAGGTCACCAGCCTCACAGACAGTCCAGGTGGAGATGAGTCTGGAACTGGGCTCTGGAAAATGGCTAATTAGGTAAGGAGAGAAAAGCATGGGAATTCACATGGCCTGGTCGAAGGTGTGAACAGAAGGTCCATATGACGGACGGCCTCAGAGGCGGAAGGCAAGGAGCTGAGCATGGTTGGAGAGTGGAGGGCACTCATCACCTGCGGTTTCTTTCCCTTTCCCGGCCTCAACCCCAGGTATGTGAACTGTGCCCGGGACGATGAGGAGCAGAACCTGGTGGCCTTCCAGTATCATGGGCAGATCTTCTACCGAACCTGCCAGGTGATCAGGCCGGGCTGTGAGCTGCTGGTCTGGTACGGGGACAAGTATGGCCAGGACCTTGGCATCAAGTGGAACAGCAGGGGGAAGAGTGAGTTTGTGACTGGGAGAGGTGAGTGTCACCCCTCTTCCAGCACCCCACCCTATCCTGGGAGTCTCCATGGTCCGATTTCGAAGCAGAGTACAATCCAGTCCAAAGTCAGTTGAGTTGCAATTAAAATGCCTCAGAATTTGATTCTTTCATATGATTGTTAGGAAAAATCTTTATATTAAAAATGTTAGTTCTAATTTTTAATATTTCATGCAAAATAATATGTAACATCACCTTCTGCTGAAAGGCTTAGAGCAAAAAGCAACTTTTCTAGCACCTACCAGCTCTCTCCCCTTTACCTGTTTCTTCCTCATTTCCTCCCATTTCTAAGCGACACATGTACAGTGATGTGCATTCAGTTACTGTTCCAGTTTGTTGTCATGTGAGTTCATACGCTGTGCCAGACGGGGCTCCACGCACCGAAACAGACAGGACCACTGCCTTGGGGCAGCATGGACTGCAAAGCAGACAGGGGCTGGTGCTCTAAGGAAAACCAGTGCAGGGAACGTGCCTGGGATCAGAGTGAGCAGAGAGTGGGGTGTGGTGCAGGACGATGGGGCAGGGTCTCTGCAGAGATAACACCTGCGGGAAAGGATTCCAGGTGGGGGAGCAGCCAGTGCCACAGCCCCAGGGCTGGGAAGAGAGGCCATGCCAGGGGTCGCAGGAGGAAGCACAGAGGGAGGGGAAGGAGGCTGGATGGGACACGGAAGCCTCAGGGCCCGTGTCCACACGCAGGCCCCAGGGGTCTTCCTGGGTGACACAGAACAACCGTGAGGCTTTCAGCTGCAAGCAGCATGTTCTCTGTTCCGTGACGATGCTTTGGTTCATTTTTGGGAAGAGACAGCAGCGGGGAGTCCCCTCAGAGGTCAGTTCATTGCCAGACATGAGGAGAGAGTGGGCTGGCTAAAGATGCTTGGGAGTGAGGATGTGAAGAGTCTGGCTGGAGATGCATTTTTAAACAGGGCTTCCTAGTGCATGTTAAATGGACTAAGCCTGAATGAAATAAATGTATGGGTACTGGTGAGGCTTGAGAAAGGATATGCCTTTATTTTATGATTTATGGGAAACTGAGAGAGGAGCAATTTTTGAACCTGTTGGGGCAGCAGGAGCCAGAGACCTGTAGTCAGTGGGACCTGGGCCGGTTAGTCTCATCCAGTCTCAAACCCACTTTCTGCAGAAATCAGCACAAAGGCTGCTCTTTGAACAAGGGGCCACAGAGTCAGCTTCACTCACACCTGCTCTAACCACCTCCTGTGCTGCCCCCCATATGCAGAGAGCTCCAGGCCAGGCGCCCCTAACTTAATAGACCCTTTCCCCTCACAGGGAGCCGCTGAGGAGATTCCACCTAAGTCATCAACTCTTATCTCTCAGTAGTAAATACCTGTGGCCACTGTGACGTGACTTTTCTGATAATTACACGCAGAGAAAGTCCCTGCAGATCCACCTCTATCAGGAGAGATGCTGCCTCTGATACTGCTGGAAGGTCCCTATCTGGGTGATATGTAGAAAAGGCCCTTGACACCAGCTTCCTGGATTTCTGTAGATGTAGAGAATAAGAGTGGAATGGAAAAGTGGACTATAAAGACACAGTTGATGGGAGACAAATCGTGCACTGTCAACACTTAGATGATTAGTGGGGCAGGCCTGACCACGGCAAACCAGCTACCTGACCAAAAGCTTCCTCTTTCAGCAGAACCGAAGCCCAAGATCCACCCATGTGCCTCCTGCTCTCTGGCCTTCTCCAGTCAGAAATTCCTCAGCCAAGACATCCAACACAGTCACCCCTCTCAGACCCTCCTGAGACCATCTGAAAGAGACCTCCTCCAACCAGAGGATCCCTGCCCAGGCAATCAAAATCAGCGATATTCAGATCCACACAGCCCGAGCAACAAACCTGAGGGTCAGGAGGCCAAGGATAGGCCCCAACCTTTGCTGAAAAGCGTAAGGCTGAAGAGGATTTCAACAACCTCTTCCTACTCACCTGGAGGACAAATGGGGGGTTCTGGGGTGCATGAGAGAATGAAAGATGAGCCCAGCACAAGCCAGAAACTGAATCCAGAGGACACAGGCACATTGCTCACGGGGGCAGGGGTCTCAGGGATTATGAGAGTCACATACGGAGAGTGTGGGCAAGGCTCCAAGGACAGGTCCAGTCTCACCACACATGAGAGGACATGCACAGGGGAGAAGCCCTATGTTTGCGCGGAGTGTGGGCAAAGCTTCCATCACGGGTCAGTCCTCATCAGACACCAGAGGACACACACAGGGGAGAAGCCCTATGTTTGCAGGGAGTGTGGGCGAAGCTTCCGTCAGAAGTCAGCCCTCATCATACACCAGAGGACACACACAGGGGAGAAGCCCTATGTTTGTGGGGAGTGTGGGCGAAGCTTCAGTGATAAGTCAAATCTCATCTCACACCAGAGGACACACACAGGGGAGAAGCCCTACGTTTGCAGGGAGTGTGGGCGAAGCTTCATTCAGAAGTCAGTCCTCATCAGACACCAGAGAACACACACAGGGGAGAAGCCCTATGTTTGCAGGGAGTGTGGGCGAAACTTCAGTCGGAATTCCCTCCTCATCTCACACCAGAGGACACACACAGGGGAGAAGCCCTATGTTTGCAGGGAGTGTGAGTGAGTCGTGACCAACAAACCACATCCTAGCCACAGGAGGATTACTGCAGCCACCCCATGCCTCAGCTCTAAGGGGGCCTCAAAGGAGGTCTGTGACCTGTTACTGTCCCCAAGAGTATGAGGAGAGACTTCCCAGGTGGTCCAGGGTCAAGACTCCAATGCAGAGACCCACGTTCCATACCTGACTGAGGAACTAGCTCCCACATGCTGCAGCTAAGACACAGCACGGCCGAATAAATAAATATACAATAACTATTTTAAAGAAAGAGTGTGATAAGCACAGAATTACTCGTTCAATAGACCTTCCACTTTCGTGACAAGAGAGGAGGTAGATAAACAGCAGAGGGTTTCTTAGGTGTTCTGGAGATGTTCGTGCCAATTGCCTTCGTGGTTTTTTAGTACTCCTCTTCTAAGAAATTTTGTCTCCAAACAAATCTGAAGCCCAGACTATATACTCATTTCCCCCTTATTACTAACAGCAGTAGGTCCCGGTGGTAGCTGAATTCCTCAGAAGCCATAATTCTGGAGCCAACTCAGTTAGGTCACTGGACAGTCAGTTCCTGCGTCCAGGGAGAGGAATCTAGGGTTTGAGACAGACTCACCAGGGAACGGGATTCCCCGGCCTCCTGGGAAGTGTGGCCTCTCCTCCTTATAGACCTCGACTGTCCTTTGGCCTCTCCTGGTTGCCCTCTGGTTTCCTCTGACTTCTGTAGCCTCAAAGGTGAAGGCCATGTGCACGTGTGTGTGTGTGCGCGCGTGCGCCTGGCTCAGCATGGGCCGTCTGGTCTCTGCCGCTCCCTCAGGGTCATCACAGCATCTGGACTCCAGATTCGACCACAGGGGTCCAGTTCTCAGCCCTGCCCTCAGCAGCTGCGTGAGCTGGGGCAAGATGCTCAACCTCTCTGTGTCTCTGTTCTCATCTGTGATATGGGGTGGGAGCACCAGCATTTTGGTGTGATGCATAAGCACAGGCAGAATCTGGCAGAGGCTGGCTGAGAACGCAAGCCCCGCCTTTGCTATTCTTTGTGTTTTTTTCTTTAATCTTTTTTAAATTTTTTAATAGAAGGATAATTGCTTTACAGAATTTTTTTTTTCTGCATGTCCTTCAGCCCCCAACACCTTCCAGGTCTTCAGAGCTAGACGAGGAAGGGGCTGTTTAGGCACTGGGCTGCCCTGATGAGGGGGTGTGAGGTCAGGGGTGCTAAGGGAGGGCGACCTCCCTTCCCACCCGAGCCATTCCTGCTGAGCTGGGCAGCCCCAGGGCCCCTCCACAGCCAGGCAGTGCCCACAGCCATCCGCCCTGCTGAGAACAGAGCCTGGAGCCGCGTTGGCAGGAAATTCCTGTCCGGCCCCCATCCCACCCCCACACGGAGGGTCCTTGAAGCCCACAGCGCAGCTTCTCTATGCATGGGCCTCACACCTGTGCCCGTGTGCTCTGGCCAACGCTGTCGCGACTTTGAAATTCTTAACCATGGAATAGTTCATCCTTACACTTCCCTTTCATGAGTGAAGTCTGATGGGCCCCGGGGTGCACTGTGAGCAGAGCAGATGCTCACACAGCACGGGTCCCGGGGTGACCAGGCTGCACAAGGGGAGAAGGTGGACACAAAGTCCCCTCACCCTGAGTGAGTGAGGGTGGTGACCACCCCAGGAAGCCACGCTTGCTTAGACCCAGAGCCGAGCTCCGACACAGAGTGGAGGCAATGGGGTTCTTAAGGTCGAACACACCCTCCCCTCTGTGAATGAACTCTGCCCCGGCCTGATCCTTCCAGAAGGGGTTCAGGAGGCTGGAGTCCACCTGGCCACCAGAAGACAACAAGGGGAGAGTGGGACACGGGGCGGGGTGCGGAGTATGCGAACTCCAGGACTCGGGCAACGGCCTTCAGTTCCCTCCGTGTGCCAGGCTTGTGAAGCGTCTCTACATGAACCGTGTCAGTAATAACCACCCACTATTATTTTCCTGTTTCTGTCATGCTTTCTTAAAGGAACGTGTTTATCTGTGGCTTGGTTTCCCTACAGGAAGGGAAGCCACGTAAACTCCCCATCTTCTGTGGCTTCAGGCCGGGGCCACGGGAGGGAGAGTTAGGGGTGGTGCAGGCAGAGGGGCTTCAGCTGAAAAATGGTGGGGGCCCAGAAACCTGCAGGGGCTTCTCACCCGCACCTCCCACCAGAGCTGGGCCTGGAATCCCCTGGAAGGCTGAGTAGGTCAAAGCTTCTCCCTCCTCTCCCCTCTGCTCCCCTCCCCTCAAAAAGCTAACTCCTGGGGCCAGTCCACAACACCCCCAAATCCCCCATCACCCACAGCCCCACACAGACCCTCCCTCACAGAAGTGGGATGACCTGGATGGTGGCACAGATGGTGTGTGACCCCAGAGCTGGGGATCTCAGCTGACCTTGAGCAAGGGGGTTGGTGCTTTACAGAGCCTCCCAGCCCTGGGAGCTGCCAGCAGCCACAAGCCATGATCTGAAGTGGAGCTGAGGATGGGGAATGGGGATGCGAGCTGTCTGAAGTCCCATCCTGTCCCCATGACAGCGGTCAGGCCTCACCTGACACTGTGACTGCCCTGCATGGGCACACAGGACACCAGCAGTCATGGAGATGGACAGCCAGCTGCCTCCGTCGCACACTCCACCCTGACCACAGCAGCCCCACGGCTGTACCATCCCTGCCTGCACGCGGCTCTGCTTGGCTGCCACGGCTTGGGGACCCTGGCTGAGTCGGTGAGGGCAGAGCTCCAGAGGCCAAGCCTGTCTTCAGCCGCCAGACCCACCCTGGTCGCCAGACTCATGAGCCCAACTGGTGTCTGAAGCCTTTGGGATAATGACACCACAGACCCTGACCTCAGAGCTCAGACTCCTGAAAACTAAACAGATTATTTTTAGTCTTCTTTTAAAGGGGGATGTTGGCAGGAAGTGGGGAGGGGAATGACTTCCTTGGCGGTACAGTGGTTAAGAATCCACCTGTCAATGCAGGAGACATGGGTTCAATCCCTGATCTGGGAAGACCCCACGTGCCGTGGAGCAACTAAATCCATGCACAACTACTGCTTTCCAACCAAAGCAGCCACCACAGGGAGTTCATCACAGAAATGAGAGAGCAGCCCCATGCCCCACAACCAGAGAAAAGCCTGCACAGCAGCGAACACCCAGCACAGCCAAAAATAAATAATCTTTGTTAAAGTAGGAGGTTGCAGCATTCCCTGCTGGTCCAGAGGCTAAGACTCTGAGCTCCCAACACAGGGGGCCATGTTCAATCCCTGGTCAGGGCACTAGATCCCACATGCTGCAACTGAAGACCCTGCATGCCACAGCTAAGACCCAGCGAAGCCGATTAAATGAATTCTTCAAGATAGGAATCTGTTCATCTGTCATCAAGAGAAAACTGCAACATTTTAGAGAAAGAAAAAAAACACAAAGATCTTATTTTGCAAGTTCTCGTGGTTGATTGCAAAAAATTTCTCATAATTTTCAGCTGTTTAAAAAAAAGAAATTTAGAAAATACAGAAACTAAAACCCACCCATAAATGTGTAGGGAACACCAATTACTGCAGCATCTGGCCACCACACACAGGAATACATGTGCATCTTTTTCTTCTACAAAAGCTTTCAGCCTCCACCGTGCTCCCCACCAGCCTCTGCTCTGCTCACCAAGAAGACTGCGCTTTGGCCTCGTGACCAGCGGGTTTCTGTTGAACTCAGAGAGGCGGAGGAGCAGGGCTGTGTGGTTGGGGGCATCATCTGGCCTGCAGTGAGGAGAGAAGGACAAGTGCTCCGCCTCTGGGTCCAGTAACTGCAGGGGCCTCAGGGGAGCCTCCCAGGAAGAAGCCTCTAAAATGCCTTCCCTGCAGTCTCCACAGTTACAGCAAGCCCCAAGTCTCAGGATTCAGCTGTGAGTTAACAAATCCTTTCTTGTTGGATGGAAAAGTGTTTCTGCAGAGAATCTGCTCGGATCTTGGCCTCAGTTGGTCCTCTTGTTGGACATGAAATGTGTTTCCACAGAGTATCTGCCCAGATCTTGGCCTAGTTTGGTTCTCTTCTTGGGTATGAAGTGTTTCCACAGAGGATATCTCTGGATCTCAGCCTCTGTTGGTACAGATTGAACAGACAGTACGTTCAGGGCTCAGGGACGTTAGTTCTCAAGTTCCCTGGGTTTAGGGCTAGAGCACCTCCTCACCTCCACCCCTTCCACGGTCATGGAGCCTTCTCTTCCAGAGGAAGGTGTTTGGCAACATCAGCCACAAAGACACATACTGAAGAGGAGAAAGCCCACGGCAGGCAGGGCTGGGTGTTCCTGGGGGAGCAGAGGGGCCTTGGACACTCCATGCTGGACCCCTGCCCCACCAGCTTCTCCTCCTTCTCGCTGGGCATGCAGCTTTCACCTCCTGGGTGCCTGCCAGTGAGGGGCTCCCAAGGCACCAAGCTGGGGTTGGCAATGGGTGAGCTGGATGCCAGGGAACCCGAGATCCTGCAGCAGGTCAGTGCACTGTGGACAAGGGCCCGCCTCACTGAACCGTAGGCCCTGTGCATTCAGGACACCCTCTCTGGACCCCAGGTAGAGGTGCTGCTGCCCCCAGGGCCCACCTGGGTCTCAGGAGGTGGAAGAGAGACCGGGTTGTCCTTCCCACCTCCTGCCCAGAGAATGACAAAGGCCAGTTCCCAAAAGACAGAGCAGGGTGGGCAGAGTGAGTCTTGGGTCTCACAGGGTCCCTGTGAAGAGGGGTTCACTGCTGCCTGGACCCCTCTTGGCTGGTTCTCCTTCTGTGTTGTCTTCACATCAAATCACAAGGACGAGGCAGTCCAGGTGCCCACAACATCACTCGTCCAGGTGCTGACAACCCTCCTTATTTATTAAGGGCAGGGAGACAGGGTGGCTGGTGTAACGCTCCCCTGGACCAGGGAAGAGACCCCCTAGGCTGTGTCTCTTCTACTCCTGAGACCCAGGTGGGCACTGGGGGCACAGCACCTCCAGCTGGGGTCTGGAGAGGGTGTCTGAATGGACAGGGC